CCATTACACATTGCTTTCTTCGGTGCAGTTGCTTCTTTCACTGGTATCAGAATATATAGTCAAGATGAGAAACCTACCAATTAACTACTAGTTTCAAAAACATGCTGAAGATTCTGAAGACCAATGCCCTTCCATCTTGATCATGTAAATGCATTACTTTGCCCTTGTCATGTTTTCTAGCTTTTCTCCTTGACCTCTCTTCATTAAGTAATCCTGAAGTTCTCACTTTCCTTTTAATTGTGTTATGACTTTCTATTATTATTTCTTCCTTTGAGTTCTTATACTAGGGAGACTATATGATATTTATACATGTGAGTCTGGTTTATTTCACTTATGTGTATATCTTCAAGTGGCATCCACTTTTAGCTAAATGCTTCAAGTTTATCATTTTTATAGATGAGTGGTACTGAATTGTATAAAAATACCACATCTTTTTCATCCATTCCTCAGGTGATGGGCATCTTGGTTGATTCCAAGATTTGGCTGCCACATATTGTGCTTTTATAAACATAGGTACACATATACCACTATGATATGATGTTTTCAGTTCCTCTGGGAAAATTCCCAGTAGGGAGATAGCTGGTTTGAATGTGATTTCCAGTCCTAGTTGTTTAAGGAGTCTCCACACTGATTTCCATAATGATTACACCAGTCTACATTCCCACCAGCAGTGAAGAAGGATTCCTTTTCCCCACAGCCTCTCCAAAATTTGTTATTAGTTGATTTGTTTATGATAGCCATTCTCTTTGTGGTGAGATGATATCTCAGTGTTGATTTAATTTGCTTTTCACGGATGGCCAGTGTTGTGGAGCATTTTTTCATATATTTATTCGCTTCTATAATTTGTCCTCTGAGTAGTGTGTATTCACCTGGGATGCCCATTTCTGGATTGGGTCTTTAAATTTTGATGCCCTAGTGTTTTTTAGTTCTTTTTTTTTGGGGGGGGGTGGAGAACCAGGGATTGAACTCAGACCCTTGCGCTTGCCAGGGAAGCACTTATTCCACTGAGCCATCTCCCCGGCCCCTAGTTCTTTATAAATTCTAGAGAACAGACTTTTGTCTGAGTGCCTGTCAGTCAAGATTTTTTCCAAATTTGTAGGTTGCATTTTCACTTTGTTGGTAATTTTTTTTGACATGGAAAAATTTCTCAATAAGAAGAGGTCCTATGTGTTAATTCTTTTAAGTGCTACCCGTGCCATTTGATTTTTGTTCATGAACTCTTTGCCTACCCCTATGTCTTCAGGAATTCTTCCTACTTTCTCTTCCAGGCTATTTAGTGTTTCTGTTCTAATGTTTAGATCCTTAATCCTTTTTGACTTTAGCTTAGTCTATGGTGATAGACCTGGGTCAAGTTTTAATTTTCGGCATGTAGAGAACAAGTTTTTCCAGCACCATTTGTTAAAGAGGATAGCTTTCTTCCAGGAAGTGTATTTGGCCCCTTTGTTGAAGATCAATTGGCTGACTTTGTTCTTAGAGGCTTCTGCATTTTGTAATCTACTCCATTGATCCTCAGGTCTATTTTGTTGCCAGTGACAGGATGATTTTATCACAGTAGGTTCGCGGTATAATTTCAACTCAGGAATTGTAATGCCTCCTGCCTTGTCTTTGTTGTCCATGATAGCCTTTGCTTTTGTAAAATGGGGTATTACTCAGCTACAAATATTGATAAAATTGAATGCTTCATATATAATTGGATGCAACTTGAAGATATAATCATAAGTGAAATAAACCAGACCCACCTATGTAAATATCATATAGTATCTCTAGAGTAAGTACTAAAAGAAGAAATAAAAATTGAAAAGTGAAACAAAACTAAATGGAAAGCAAGGATTTAAGGAGTAAATAATGAAGAGATGGCAAGGAGAGAAGAAAGGAAACATGACACGGGAAAACCATGCCTGTATGTATACAAGAACAGTAAGGCAATGATCTTGAGAATCTTCAGCAGGCTTTTGAAATAAGCAGTTAATTGTTAGGATTTTAACCCTGACTATCTATGCTGATACCTCTGATCTAGGCAACTGCACGGAAGATAGCAATGTGTAATACTAGGGCCATTCTAGGAATGCCTGTCATCCTGGTCTTCTGAAATCATACTACTTCTAACGTCATATCAATTATTGCTATACTCTGTCAAATAAATATTTGTTTAAAAATGTAGTAAAATAAAAGAACAATCAAGCAAAAAATATCATAGGACTGTCCTGCTAGAAGGTATTATATGGTTAGATTTCTACATTTCTGTGTAAAAATTTGTATCTGTTTATTATTATTTATTTATTAATTTTCATGTTTAATAGTTATTTAAAGTTCAGCATAGTGTTGGAAAGTACCTGCTTCATGTTACATGTAAAGCATTTGATATTCACACAGATAGTGATGTTAAGCTCAACTACCTCTGTTGTAGGGTAACACCATTAAGCTTCTCTTCTGGAGGGTTAACAACTTAATTTTGCAGTCCACAGAATTAGAGAAAAAGAAGGGCTACAAGGATAGCCAACATTTTCACCCTATCCATTCAAGTTGAGTGAGGACCTAGGATCAAAATGAATCTGTAATGTAATACCCTGTTACTCAGTTGTGTCCCAAATTTTTGATTCAACGATATTATGGTGCCACAGAGGAAGGTGACTAACGATGTAGAGTGTGCCTAAGGAGAGTCACCTAGACAGAAAACATTTTCTCAGGATTTCATAAAGAGTAAATTGATAAAGTAATGGCTGTGACTCTTCCACATGGCTGAAACTAACAGAAGGTCTACAAACTGGGTTTCAGGATAAATCCTGAGGGGATTTGGCTGACCTTGTCAGATAAAAAAGTTAGATTTTTTTGTTATATGGGTCTTGCTTTATCTTGACCATCCAGTAGAAAAGGCTCAAATCAAAATCTTCTGACATTGCCAGTCCTGCCAATAACCCACTACTACTATGATCTACTGAACTACATTGGAATATTTTTATGAATTTATGCAACTTCAATGTTTGAATGGCAATGGAATACCAATCTCTGACATAACAAAACAAAATAAACAAGGGGAATATAAAGAAGGACCATTTTCTAGTGAAAAAAGAGTGTATACATCTTCATATATAAATTACTTAGGATAGACATACAGTTACTTTCTCTTAGTTCAATGACAAGAATGATTTGTTCTAATAGTGTTTCACCAAGCTATCATGTCTGTGTCTTGTACTATGAATAACTGCTATGAAGACAACAATATGCAATTAGTAATTGTTTTAACTATCCTACTAACCTGATTTGAAACTGTCTCATTGTTATTTCTTTCTCAATAAAATTAATTTAAAAAAAGAAAATGGAGAGTTACTACTTACTCCTGAATAGGAAGAAGCAACATTTAGCAGACTCAAAGTGATCCTTTTATTTTCAGCTTCCCAAGCACTGGGATTATAGGTGTATGCCACCATGCCTAGTCTCAATCCGTATCTCAGCATTCCCCGGGGCTGAGGCCAACATGCACACTTGGGATCAAATGCCAGCTGGTGTACTCTGCCTAAGCAGGTGCTTTAGTGCACCAAATGATATGGTCTGTTCTAATTCAACATATTTATAATGGCCTTACTCCCAAAATTGCTATACAGATTTAATGCAATTCTTATCAAAATACCACCAACATACCTCACATATTTAGGGAAAACATTCCTAAAATATGTCTGGAACCAGAAAAGAGCTAGAAAGCTATGTTAATCCTGGGCAAAAAATGCAGGGCAGAAATTATTACAATCCCTGACTTGAAACTATACTGCAAGGCTATTGTGATAAAATCATTATGATGCTAGAAAAAAATCAACGCAGGAAGGAATAGAACATATTAGAAGATGCAGACACAACTAAAAACACACTCAGCCATCATATCTTTGACAAAGGGGCCCAACATATCCATTGGAAGAAACATGTCCAGTTGGAAAAACTGGCTCTCCACATGTGGCAACTAAAACTGGACCCAGGTCTATCACCATGCAATAAACTAAGTTAAAATGTATTAAAGATATAAACATTAAAGCAGATGCAATAAATCTCCTGAAAGAGAAAGTAGGAGGAACTCTTGAAGACATAGGCGTAGACAAATATCTCATGAACACAACTCAATTTGCGTGGGAAATACTTCAATGAAACAACAACTTGGACCTCCTTTTATTGAGAAGTTTCTGCAGTCAAATAAATAACCAACAGAGGGAAAAGGCAACCCACAAATTCAGAAAAAAACATTTTAGCAATAATCACTCAGAAGAAGGTTTTCTATTTAGAATATATAAAGAACTAAGAAAATTTAGGGCCCCAAAATGTGAAGAACCAATCCATAAATGGGCATCTGAGAAGAGTATATTCTTTTAGGAGGAGCAAATAGAAGAGGAAAATAATTATGTGAAATAATGCTCAACATCACTGGCCATCCCAGAAATGCAAATTAAAACAACATTGAGATACCATCTCACCCCAGAAAAAGTGACGATCATAAACAAATCAACTAATCAAAAATGCTGGATAGTCTGTAGGAAACTCTTCAATGAAATTGAAAGGGAATTACTTGCTAGCAAGTGCAAGGGCTGGGAGTTCAATCCCCAGGCCTGCCTTGCTGGCCCAGCCCCTGGGGCATGATGAGATGGCAATTGAGACTAGGCATAGTGGCACATGCCTGTCATCCCAGCTCTTGGGAGGCTGTAAACAGGCATATTACTATGAATCTGATCTAGTAGTGAGACCCTGAACACCCTGTAGACCCTTCCTTCCTTAAAAATACAAAAAAAGAAAGAAAAAAGAAAAGAAAGAAATTGAAAGGGAAACAGTTCTTTCAAACTCATTCCTGGAGGCAAGTATTATTCTGATTCCAAAACCACAGAAAAATCAATCTAAAAAGGAGTACTACAAGCCAATATTTCTAATGAATGCAGATGCAAAAATCCTTAAGAAAATACTAGCAAGCACAATCCAGCAAATTGTCAAGATTATACACCATGAACAGGTCAGTTTCATCCCAGACATGCAAGGAAGTTTGAACATATGCAAATCCATAAATGTAATACTCTACATCAACAAATCCAAGAACAAAAACAAAATTATCATCTAAATAAATGCAGAAAGAGCTTTTGGCAATGACCAACATTCATTCATGACAAAAACCTTACAAAAAATGGGAGTAGATGGTCTATATCTCCACTTGATAAAAGCTCTGTAACAAACCAAAAGCCAATATCATAGTAAATGGGTAAAAACTGAAAAATCTGCACCTTAATATTAGGAACAATACAAGTATGTTCACTGTCTTGATTCCTATTCAAAATAGTTCTGGAAACATCAGTAAGGGCAATTATATAAGAGTGAAAAATAAAAGGAATAAGGATTGGATAAGAATTGAAATTATCATTATTTTCAAATGACATGATACTCTATCTAGAAGACCTCAAAATATTTACCAACAGTAATATAAATTTAATCACCGAATTCAGTAACATAGAAGTAAACAGATTCAACACCAAAAATCAGTATCAGTTTTGTACAAAAACAATGAAAGCACTGAAAGTGAAACTTGGGAAACCACGTCTTTCACAATAACATCCAAAAAGAAGGAATATTGGGCCAGGGAGATGGCTCAATGGAATAAGCGCTTCCCTGGCAAGCGCAAGGGCCTGAGTTCAATCCCCGGTTCCACCAAAAAAGCATAGAAAAACAAAATAAAATAAACAAAAAGAAGAAATACTTAGGAATTAATCTCACAAAGGCAATAAAAGATTTATACAGTAAAAATTATGGTGTTGTTAGAAAAAAAATTGAGTAGGATTTGAGAAATCCGAAAGACATTCCATGATCCTGGATAGGAAGAACCAATGTAGTGAAAATGGCCATGCTCCCAAAATTGTCATACAGATCCAATGAAATTCCAATTAAAATACCATTAGTATATCTCACAGAGCTAGAAAATTCTTTACCCAAATTCATTGGGAAATAAAGTGACCCATAATATAGAAAAATATCCAAAAAGAAGAAATACTGGGCCAGCGAGATGGCTCAATGGAATAAGTGCTTCCCTGGCAAGCGCGAGGGCCTGAGTTCAATCAAAGGCAGGAGGTACCCCAGTCTGTGACCTGAAATTATATTATAAAGCTACTGTGATAAAATCATATGGTACTGGCATAGAGAATGATCACATGACTAATGCAACAGATTAGACTATGCAGACACACATACAAACACATTCAGCCAACTTACCTTTGATAAAGTGGTCCAACATGTTCAATAGAAAAAAGATCTTTAATAAATATTGCTGGATTTTCACATGCTGAAAGCTAAAATTAGATCCATGTATAACACCATGCACTAAATTACAGTCAAAATGGTTCAACGATTTAAAAGTCAAGCCATAAACATTAAATATTTTTGAGGAAAATGTAGGTATAAATCTTAAAGACATAGGGGTAAGTAGAGAATTCACGAACTAAAGCAAAACTGCATAGGAAATATTTCAAAGAATCAACAACTGAGATCCCATCTTTTTGAAAAGTTTCTGCACTTCGAAGGAAATCTCCAACAACATAAAAGTAAAATCCACAAACTGAAAAAACATAATAGCTAGCTGTCCCTCAAACGAAGTCTAGAACAAAGTCTAGAACTTATAAAGAATTTTTAAAAATCAGGCCTCCAAAATTCAATGGCTCAGTCTGTAAATGGGAATCTGAGATGATCATACACTTTTCAGATGAAAAAGTACAACTGGCAAACAAATATATGAAAAAATGTTCAATATCATTGGCCATTTGAGCAATAATAATTAAAACAACAATGAGATTACATCTCACCCCAGAAAGAATGGCTAACATTAAGAAATCAGCCAATAACAAATGTAGAAGAGGCTGTTGGGAAAAAGGGATTCTTTTCCACTGTTGATGTGAGTGCACACTGGTACAACCACTATGGAAATCAATGTGGAGATTCCTTAAAGAGCTAGGATTGGAGCCCACATTCAAAACATGTATTTCTCTGTGGGTATTTTTCCAAACGAACTGAAAATATTATGCCACAGCAATGTATACGCACTCATGTTCATAGAAGCACAATTTGTCATAGATATATTTTGGAAAAAAACCAAATTCCCATCAACTGAGGAATAGATAAAGAAGATGTGGTAGTTTACTCAATGGAGTACTATTCAGCTAAATAACAGGATAAACTTGAGTGTTTCATTGGTAAATGGATGCAACTAGAGACTATACTCAAGTGAAATCAGACCTACATGTGCAAACATCGCATTGTCTCCTTAGTGTGAGAATCTCAAAGAGAAAATAAAATCTGAGGGGTACAATATATACTAGGCAAATGGAGTGAACCTATTCAAAAGGAAGGAATTATTGAATTGAAAAGTACTGGAGAGGGAGTGAAGAAGGTAAATCTACATATGTAAGCAGGACAGTTTGAACAACTGTATTGTGGATTTATGACTTTCCATGGAAAGGAACAGATAATGCTTAATTTATTTTGTCTACTTTTTCCATTCTTTGACATTTTTATCTGCTTACTTTCTTGTATATGTCTTTCCTTTGGTTCTTTCTTCTTCCAATTTTGCATTCATATTTCTGGTAATGTGAATAACTCTTAAAGACAATGCTATGCATTACAACAAATACTGTAAAATTCATATTATTTGATTTAGTGAAATTCTGTATCACTTGCGATTTTTCTGTTTTAATACTATTATGTACTCTCTTTAAAACATAAAAAAATTTCTTCTGTGATTCATTGTATATTCAAGAGTTTACTGTTTAATTTTCATGTGTCTAAATATTATTTGTCTTTCTTTTGCCATTTATTTTTGACTTCACTGCACATTGTCCTCATAATATGGATGGAGTAATTTCTATTAATTTGATATAACCATGTTTTATGAGCTTGTATTTGGTCTATTTTGAAAAATGTCCCACACGCTGCTGAGAAGAATGTGTATTCTGTTTTTGGATGTTATTCTCTGTAGATATCCAAGTTCATTTGTTCAAAGACTTGGTGCAGCTCCAAATTTTTATTTTTTTTTTTCATTTTTTGTCTGGTTAATATGTCTTTCTGTGAAAGTCGGGTGTTGAGGTCCACCACGACAACTGGGTTTATGTTTATCCTTTTTTCATATGCATTAGTGTTTGTTTTACATAGTTGACTGTGCCAGTCTTTGACACATACATATTTATGTTTGCTACTTTTTCTTTTGGCTGGCTACCTTAACAAGTTTGTGGTGACCTATTTTGTCTCTTATGATCAGTGTTTGCTTGAAATTCACTTTGTCTGCAAGTAGAATAACTACTCATTATTTTTTGTCCAGTTTTCTGTTTCATGGAGTGCTGTTCCCCATCCTTTGATTTTCAGTGTGTGATTTTCTTGTGGATTTAAATATGATTCTTGAATGCAAAATACTGTTGGGTCTTGTTTCTTGAGACATTTTACCAATTTCTTTCTTTTGATTAGTGAACTGAAACCACTCCGATTGATGGATACAACTGAATTGTATTGATTATCCCTATCATTTTATTACTTTCCTACAGTTAGTTCCCTTTCTCTTCCTTTTATTTAATTGTTTCCTTAGGATTATTGGAATTGGTGTCATTGTTTTATTTTTCTAGAATGCTTTCAACACTTTTTGAAGTGCTGATACAGTGGCCATGAATTTCTCCAGGTGTTCTTTATCATGGAAGCTTCTTATTTTTCCAAAACTTTTGGAACTTAACTTTTCAGGACACAACAATCAGATTTGAAGACTGTTTTATTTTATGTCCTGAAATGCTTCACTTCAAGCTCTCTATGAACCAATGATTGTGTTAAGAAGTCTTCTGTGGTATTCATCAGCTCTCTTAGAGGAGATTTGTTTTGTTTAGAGCAATTCCTTTCAATTACCCTGCTTTCTTTTTAATTTTTTTCTCCTACTAACTGTAAATCTGGCTGAGGGTTTTTGTAGTTGATTCTGTACCTTCTAATCTGTTCAACTGATTCTCTAGTCTTTTTTTTTGTCTGTATCATGATTTTTATCACAGAATCTGGGTATTATACTTCCATGTAAAGGGCTGCAATTCTTTCTTCCTTGTCTTTATTATAATTATTTTTTTCTATTCTAGGCTTCTTCTGGTATTGAATGATTTTTTATCAGTAATATAGGCTAATAGTATTTTAATTGGCATCAGTATAACAATATTGCAACTCTGACCGTTTTCTGTTTGTTGTATTTTTCTAGAGCTGAATAATGAATGACTCCCTTTTCTGACATCATCTTCACCTCCCTTTTTCAGAATAATGTAAATTTCAAGGTATAGATATTTTACTTCCTTTGTTTGACTAACTCCTAAGTATTTTATTTTTGTAAATGCTATTGTGGGACTGGCAAGGTAGATGAAACGATTAAGCACCTGCTTAGGCAGGCACAGAGACCAGGGCTTGATCCTGGGCAGTGCCACAGGCCATACCGGCCCCACACACGGATGTGCTGAGTAGGCCACTGAGACCATGTGTGTTAGTGCATGCCTGTAATCTCAGCCAGCACTGGGGAGGCTCAAAACAAGAGAATCACTATGAGTCTGAGGTGCATATTAAGATCCTGTACCAAATAATAAATAAATAAATAAATTAATTAATTAATTAATGCTGTTGTGAAAGGTGAAGTTTCTCCAGTTTCTCATTCAGTGAGTTTGTGTGCAGGAGTGCTATCGATTTTTGAGTGTTGTCTACATTATTGAATTTTGTCATTTAGCCTAGAAGTAGAAGTTTGGGGATTTTCTTTTTAGATTATCATGTCTTCTACAAATAATGACAATTTAAAATTTTCCTTTGTTTCTTTACTCCATTTGGGTCTTCAGGTTGTCTAATTGCTATGGATAATATTTCCAGTACTGTGTTGAATATAAGAGGTGATTATGGGTATCCTTCTCTGGATCCTGACTTTAGAGTTAAAACTTTCAGGTTTTGACCATTTAGTACACTATTAATTATTACTTTGTCATAGGTTATTATCACAGTAAGATAA